TGTGTCATTTTCCCCCCATCTCGATATTTGGACAGCTTCCAAACTGAATTTCAGGAGAGATGCTTTAAACATGAAACTCAGGCTCATCCATTCTTTCCCCTACATGGAAATCTGACAAAACAGGAAGTACTTGGCAGCATAGAGAAGCAAGTTTTGTGGCTTACGTTTTTACTGGTAGCAGACTAGTTCTTCGTGACAGTGTAATAAAATGCAGAACTTCACATTTGAGAGGAAAACAGCAAAACTTTGCTTTGGTTACCAAGGTTACATTAGCATTTTAAAGGCCTTAATGACACTATCACATGATACATAGAGAAATAAGAAACAGGAAGATGGCTTTTCTTTTTGTTATGTTCCTTCATATAATAACCCCCATCCCTGTCCTAAGCCATCAAAATTATACAAACACTGGAAGCAGTTTTATGACTGCATATAAAGACTAAGAAATACAAAGATTAAAAAAAAATTTCTGGTTTGGTTTGAGGGAACCTACTTAGGGAAAAAGTTTTTGTTTGTGCTTGCCATAGGATTTGAGGTAAACCTAAATACAAATAAATATGAATATAAACCCCTAGGTGGGCCATTAGGATTAGCAGACTCAGTAACACACTACCAAACATACCATTAGCCAACCAAAGGAAGAAAACAAATCCTTCCCCTATGCCATCTTCCAGCTGCCCTCCTCTGCCTATAGAAACTTCACTACAGTGAAATTAATCCATGAACTTGCTTAACTATTATTTCAAATATGTTTTACTAGCCAATGAAAGCATTTACAACACTTGTTAAATAAAACAATAATGTAGGTAGGACATTAAAGCTTTTGTCAGAATTTGATCCTATGCAGTAGGAATAGCAGCAAATTCCATAAGTACTAAAATTATGTAGTCAATGTCTGATACTTCTATTTCTCAGGGGTTAAAATACCATTTAACCTTTCAGAAATATATAAATATTGTAAGTATACTTATAGGAGTTCTTATTTTTAAAAAATATCATGCTGGGCCTGGCCAGTTTGGCTCAGTGGTTAAAGCGTCAGCCCGATGACTGGAGAGTCTCAGGTTCAATTCCAGTCAAAGGCTCTCATACCTCGGTTGTGGTTCGCCCCAGGTCCTAGTCAGGATGGTGTGGGGGTCAACGTGTCCCTTTCACGTCGATGTTTCTCTCTCCCTCTCCCCCTCCCTCCCACTCTATCTGAAGATAAAGAGAAAAGTATCCTTGGGTGAGGATTATAATAAATAAATAAAACTTTCATACTGGATTGGAATTGTTAAGTATTAGGAACTATAAATACCTAGCGCCATGCCCCTTCCACTCTAAAAGCAAACACTCAGGCAGAGTAATGTATCCCAGGTCACAACCAATGAGAGCAGGCTTACAGAACACAGAACATCTAGTTTTCAAATAGTGTTTTCTACATTAAGATATTTATGCAATCCAACTGAACTACTGTAAAAGTTCTGGGGATTTTTAAGCTGAATACATAATTACTTTAGCTCTGTGAATGCCTACCATGAGCCAGGCATTTTAACTTATCTCCCTATTTCCCACCATTTCCACTTCTTCTAAATCTAGAGGCTAAGACCCTATCAATATTATAGTAACCAAGGATTAAATAATGTCTTCATAACATCTTTCACCAAGTTCTTATTCTCAAGAGTACCCCTACTTTCATGTCTAAAGGTATTATGGCATTATGATAAGACAAATGTACTTGTAGAGTATCAGTTCAATAACTGATTGAGCCAGGTGGCTTGAATATTCTGTTACTGGCAGCAAATATATCCTGAGCTGTGACCAAACTTCACAAATCTGGACCACTGGTGATAAGATTAGTGGGCAGGCAGATCTATGGAAAATCAGTTACTGTCAGAAAAACAATCCCTTTGGTGGTTAATCAGACATACTATCTTAAAGGGGGGGGGGGCATTCTAATGAAAATTCTTGACCTGCGGATAGTAGCCCTTATGTTCTACTCCCTACATGCTTTTGAATCTGACCCAATTAGTAAAACCTCGAGTGATCTCATTTTAAGTAACCGATCAGGCAAAATTTTCTGGTGTACAAACACTGACAAAGCACATTTTTCACTGGCATGCATTTGTACATTAAACATTACCTTTTAGCTTGCTATACCTTTCATAAACTTTCACTCCACAAATGAGTGCCTAATAAGTGCCAAGGCCTGTGATAGGTTCTAAACCTACAAAGATGAATAAGGTATAGTTCTCTGCCTGTAAGAATGTCATTACTTAGTGAAGAACATGTAAGTGGATGAAAAGTGAGCAAAAAGCTGAAATGCAACCCGGATGGGGTTGTTCAGGAGCCAACCAATCAATGTCTCTCTCCCTCTCCCTCTCTAAGCATGTCCTCGGAGAGGGTCAAAAACAAAAAACAAAGAACTGAGAAAGCACAGGGCTTACAGAGGAGAGACATGATAGTTTTCATGTGACAAGAACAAATAGTACCTAAATAAAAGTAAGAAGTTTGGAGAGAGGTTGAAATGGCCTTTGGAAGGTATTGAATGAAGGCAGAGTCTAGATGCTTTATTTCTGCATATAAATATAACAATATAATCTTTTAAAATATTCTATGAATGACACTGTATAACATATTTATATACACTAAGAATACCACCTACTATCTTGGCATCATTCTAAGCACTGTGTATTTCTTTTTTTTTTTTTTTAATCCTCACCCGAGGACATTTTTCCACTTTTTGTTCAGGTAGAGTGGGAGGGAGAGAGAGGAACAGAGAGAGAGAGAGAGAGAGAGAGAAGCATCGATGTGAAAGGAACACATCGAGTGGCTGCCACCTGCACGACCAACCAGGGCCGGGGGCAAACTGCAACCGAGGCACATGCCCCTAGCGGGAACCGAACCCTGGTCTCTCCAGACCGCAGGCCGACGCTCTAACCGCTGAGGCAAACCGGCCAGGGCTTGCTTTTTTTTTTTTTATTTTTTTTATTTCTTAACTCATTTAATACTAATCCCAACCTGTCAGGTCAGGTCAGTTCTATTATTATTCACATTTTACAGATGGGGCACAGAGGTTAGAAATTTGCTCTAAACCACCCCTCCCACTAAAAGCTGCTACACCTACACATTCTAAAGCTGGAAGTATCTTTTTTGCTTGAATGATTTTGAAAAATATTTTTTTATTGCTTTTTTCTTTTTAGAGAGGAAAGAAGATAGAAACATCAATGTGAGAGAGAAACATCGATCGGCTGCCTCCTGCATTTCTTCTACTGGGGACTGAGCCTACAACCCAGGCATGTGCCCTTACCAGGAATCGAACTGGGACCTCTCAGTCCATGGGACAAAGCTCAATCCACTGACCCACACCAGCCAGGGGAATCCCGGAATTTATTTTCAAAGCTAATGGGGGACATGGAGAAGATCAACATCCTGTAGTTAATTCAAATGATTTAATCTTTGAAAAATAAGAGGTACCAGAGAAAAGGAGGTAATGAAAGAGAAGGCATTAAAACATACATGTACCACACAGTTATTTAAAACTAATGTACAAATTTTATGTTTCTGAATGTATTAGTTTTTCTTCAATTTATAAATAGGTTCTATCTTTGTAACTCAAAGCTAGCACTACGATGGGAAAACTTTTTCATACCTAATCATTTAAATGAGATAAAAGTCCTTTTTTTTTTTTTTTTGTAATCCTCACTTGAGAATTTTTTTTTTGAAGGGAGTGAGAGAGAAACATTAATTGGTTGCCTCCTGCATGACCCCAACCAGGACCGGGGAACGAACCTGCAACTCAGGTATATGCCCTTGACTGGGAATTGAACCTGAGACCCTTTGGACCGCGGGCCCATGCTCTAACCGCCCATGCTCTAACCACAGAGTCAAACTAAGCCAGGGCAAAGTCTTGATATATGCAACAAAGCACCTCAAATTTTATAAGGACATACATATCCTAACCCTAAAAGTTTAGGTTTTACAAAAACAAATTAAAAAGCCAAATCATAAAGAAAAAAGGGGGTGGGGTTTCTTTCTAAAACAAAATTGTAACCTTTTCCTTGCTAAATAGCAGAAAACATTTTTTAAAGCCCTAGGAAAAAAGGAGGGAAAGGCCCATGGGAGATTAACTGGTTAAATTAGGCTCTTCCTCTTGAAGAACACTCAAAAGTCAGCCTACTCCATATTTTCATGTCCAACTGCCAAAGTCCTTCCTTAAACTGAACACTTAAATTTCATGTCAAAATAAAAGTGGTTTCCAAAAAATAAGACAATTAAGATCTTTACTTAGATATTATATATTTAAAAAATCTTGGCTAAACATTCATGTTTCACAGAATGTTTTCTCTCTCTATTTTGGTAAAATCAACATAAAACACACCAAACTTAGTCCACTAAGGAAAAGAAATTTCACCCCACGTCTGAACAGTTTAAAAGCATTAATATATTTTACAAGATGCTCTCTTAACACTGTATTTTTTCAGTCATGAAAAACTAACCTCCCCTTAACTTAGTTTAAGAATCATGTGGTTTCCCTGCATGTATTTTACTATTAATTCACTTTAACTTTTGAAGTTGTACTTTAAAAATCAGAAATAAAAAAGCTGTGATAAAAGCACCAAAATCTAATGGAAGAATAAAATTCAAAATCAAAATACAGAAAACAATGTAAGGTCCAGCATATGCCTTGTTCCAATTAGGGACCTCATAGGCACCTTGAGAAAAGGAAGAATAGATGCTTACTGGACACTCCAAGCTCTGACTTGCATGTTTAAAACTGATTTCATCTTCCTTACCAACCAGTGGTCTCTTCTTACTTTCCATATTAGTTAATGGTACAATCTACTCCCTGCTCTTTAAAATATTGAGTGTTTTGTTTTCTTTCTTCTTTACCTCTATAATCAGTTAGAGATTAAATACTGTCAACTCTTTTTCTTGTGCACCTGTCCTGTCTCTCTCCAGGTCCTACTATAGTTTCATCTTAGGCTAACACAACTGCAATAGTATCTTAATTGTCTCCCTACCTCCAATTCTTGTGTCATTTCCTCAGTCACACTGGACACTGTATCCAAGTAATTTTCCAATAATACATTTTTGTGTTCATCATACCCCACTGTGTCTGTTCAAAAACCCTAAACAAAAATAACTAAAATGAAAAATGGAAGTCTACATGGAAAAATATCTGTTGCAAATTCCTACTAAATAGTATTTAATAAACTCAAAAGATTTAAAAATAAAATATCAAGACTCTAATACATATATGGACAGAAACTGTGAATAGACATCTTGTCTATTACTAATCATCAGTATGTAAAATCCAACCTCACTAGTTAAAACAAAGAAAAAAAAAGAACTCAACATATGTTTCACCTATAAAATTAGCAAAAATTATTATAATTATAGGTTACCCAAAGCTGGCAATTAAACTCACAGTGTAAATAATAACTCTTTTGGAAAACAATACAGCAATGTTTCAAGAGTCATAAAAACATTCAACCACCTTTTAAATCAATCCTAAAAGAACAGTCCAAAAGATACAAAATACTGTATGCACATGGGTGATAATGATAGCATAATACTGAAGAACTAGAAACCTAGCCCTGGCAGGTTTGGCTTGGCAGTTAGAACATCGCCATGTGGACCAGAGTCTTGGGTTCGATTCCTGGTCCAGGGCACATACCTGGTTGCAGGTTTGAACCCCAACCCTGGTCGGGGTTGTTCAGGAGGCAACCATTCGATGGGTCTCTCTTACATTTATGTTTCTCTCACTCCATCTCCCTCTCTCCCTTCCACTCTGTAACAAACAAAAAAACCCAGAAATCTAAATATGGCCAAGCAACAGAAAAAATGAAGTCACAGGTAAAACAATTTGATGGAGTATTATATTTTTAGATATTAAAATTATCAGACATTGTGTAGTCATACTGAATGTTAAAGGAAGAAAATAAAATAAAATGTACTCTAAGACTAAAGAAAGAATATGCATACAGACAAGGAAGAAAAACTTTTAAAAATCTAATGTTGGGATGGCATTTAATATGATTTGTTTGTTTAGTTCCATTTTGATTTGTAAAATTTGAAAATAAAACAAAAATTAATCTTCATTTTCTGCTCACATCCCAGCTTTCAAGGCTCTCTAGAGGTTCCTAAACCTTTATAGAGGACAAGCACCTATATAATTTTGATGTTCAGCTGATTCTAGAAACATTGACAAGTTGGCCTCACACAATTTTCCCAATGTAATCTTTAGCCAGTCATCTTCTCCAAACTAGTTTACTCACTGTCCCAAATAACTTTCCTTATATAATTGTATTCTTAATCACAACCTTCCATCCACTTAGAATGTCTTCCTTTCTTCTACTTTAACATATTACATCTCACTAACTTTGAGAATCTTCAATGATCCCTAAGTAAAATTTTCTGTTCTGCAATGTCAAATAATTTGTCTTCTTAAAAGCAATTAGACTGACAGTACTGTATACTAAACTTTTCACAAATCTATTGTTCTTGTGAGCCATGATTTAAATCTTTAAAAAGTTAATCTAAATTGACTGAATCTTTTGAAATAACTATTTTTTACTTACATTCCACCACATGTTTAATTATGTTCTTCCTTTTATTGACAGTAGGCTCCTTGATTATAGCTCCTTGCCATGTAGGAATGCCACTAAGTAACCTATATCAGCTTGAATCCAAATCCTAAAATATACTGTTATTCCAGTATGAATTATATATGAAAGAAAACCAGTACCAATGACTCCACATGGCATCAGCAGTGACATCTAATAGGGCAAAATACCATAGAGAGATTGCAAAGATTGCTTTGGTTACAAATAAGCAAATTTTGTAACTTTCCAAAACAAACAAACAAAAAAAAACACAAAGTCATGAGGAATCAAGAAGCTACACTCAACATAGCAACGTTCTAGTTCTCTACACAAACATTTACAGAAACAGCTGTATAGTGGAAGAAATTCTATCATTTTTAAAAAGATAAATGTAACAGTAACATGGCCAATCTTGATAACTGAAAAATAGTTAAGTGAAACTGCTTACCAGAAACATAATTTTCAACGACAGCAAATCCAGGTATTTAAAAAGTGGAACACCTTCCTTAATTTTTCCACAAAATGAAGCCCACTCTAGAAAACAAAGCCCACATACTAAGAACATGGAATGTTTTAAATTTTCCATTAAAATTTTTTCACTTCTAAACACTTTCATGGATGAGATCTCAAGTATTCTACCACAGTTAAAAAAGAAAATCATGAAAATGTTCAAGTGTTCCATGATTAAGAATTCAGAAATGAAATCCATGTGTATGGGTAAACAAATCCATAAGGATGTTCTAGTTTTGTAATTTCAGCCTAAAACACAACATTGGGAACTTATATATAGCCTCATTGAAACCCTTGACCAAATAAATGTAACATTCTGCTTTCAAAGAAGCTTCTCATCAATAGAAGCATTATTAAAAATTTGAAATTTTGATTTTGTAGGAAACATTATTCTATTTGAGCCCTTAAAATAGGTTATAAAAAACAATTCTATCACAATTTTTTTCATTCATATCTAAGAGATGGTCTAGTGACTGTTCAGTTAAGTTGCTTTCCATTAAGAGATCATAAAACCCTTAAAAAAAAAAAAACTGAGAGAACAAAATCTTTAATAACTGTCCTTAACAGTTCTCTAAATCCATCCTGGTCAGTTTAGCTCAGCAATTAGAGCGTCTGCCTGTGGACTGGAGAGTCCCGGGTTCAGTTCCCACTAAGGCAGTGGTTCTCAACCCGGGGGTTGCCTAAGACATAACAGTAGCAAAATTACAGTTAAGTAGTAGCAACGAAAATAATTTTATGGTTGGGGATCACCACAACATGAGAAACTGTATTAAAGGGTTGCAGCATTAGGAAGGTTGAGAACCACTGCGCTAAGGGCATGTACCTCGGTTGCAGTTTGTCCCCGGCCCTGGTTGGGGTCATGCGGGTGGCAACCACTCAATGTGTCTTTCGTACATCGACGTTTCTCTCTCTTCCTCCCTCCCTCACTCTCGCTCTATCTGAAGATAAATGGAAAGAAAAAAAAAAATGTCCTCGGATGAGGATTTAAAAAAAAAAAAAGAGCCCTGGCCAGTAGCATTGGCCTGCGGTTCAGGAAAAAAAGGAAAAAAAAAAAAAGAGTTCTCTAAATCCACATTACATTCAGAATTACAAATCAATTCAGTATTGAATCAAATATTTGGCACATTAAAAAAAATTTTAAGGTTAAGACAGCATCAGTGGAACATCATGAATTCTCAAAAGAATTACATTAAAAAAAAAAGTTTTTATTGGTTTTTTAGAGAGAGACAGTAACATCAATGAGAGAGAGAAACATCAATCAGCTGCCTCCTGCATGGCCCCTACAGGGGACCAAGCCTGCAACCTGGGCATGTGCCCTGACAGGGAATCAAACCCAGACCTCTCAGACCATGGGAGGACGCTAAATCCACTGAGCCACACCTGTGGGACAAAAAGAATTACTTTTAATGAAAACCTAAGTTAGCGTATTTTACATATTTTTGCATAGAAAAATACATACAGATTCATAAGAAATAATGACAGAGCATCTATCATGTATCTTGTAGGCAAACGTAACAGTGATTAAAAACCTTTGCTGTTTCCCTCTGAAAGTAGTCTCTCAAACTGGGGAAGAGCCAAACAACTGCTAAGTAAAAATGTTATGAGAGGCAGGCATGTAAAGGATCCTTGCAAGGGTACAGAAGCACCAAGAGAATGCACACAGGATGAAAAAACTTTAGGAAAGGTTACAGGAAACATAAAATAGTTAAACTCTACTATAGCATAAAAACAATTTGTCTTTAGCAACCTCTAAATGTCATTTCTGTGTAGCAAAATGCTTCACTGCATAAATGCCTACTTAGAATAAAAAATTAGTTTTAAGAAATTATTCCTAAGGTCCACCAAAAATACTCAAATTTATTTTACTATATGTGTGACTTAAAGACTGTAATAATTCTACTTGAATAAACAAAGACCCAGGAGAAAAAGTTTAAAAAATAAAGCTAAAGAAAAACAAAAAAAACAAAAAAACAAAAACAGAAAATTGAGGGGAAATGTAATAAAAGCAAAAAGAACAACAAAAACTGTAAGTGCAATAAGAGCAAAAGCTTTTTGATGGACAGCTGCACAAGGATTAAAAGCTATAAATGTTCAATCTCTGGCTTTCTATTTCTACACCTGGGAATTTATTCTAAAGAAATAATCAGAGATGTGAAGAAAAATCTTGATGCCTAGAAATTTTAGCCACAGATGTCAGTTCTTAGGCAAAATCATGTAAAATATATACAAGGATATTCAAACATTTCACTATAATAGAAAACTTAAAAGATCAGACTGTATGAATTATTGTGCACCTATTCTATAGAACACTGTGCAGTCATAAAAATGCTTTAAGCCCTGGCCAGTTTGGCTCAACGGTTGGAGCATCGGCCTGCGGTACAGAGAGACCCAGGTTCGGTTCCCGCTAAGGGCACGTACCTCGGTTGCAGTTTGTCCCTGGCCCTGGTTGGTCGTGCGGGTGGCAGCCACTCGGTGTGTCCCTTCACATCGATGTTTCTCTCTCTTCTCTCTCCCTCCCGCTCTATCTGAACAAAAAATGGAAAAATGTCCTCGGGTGAGGATTAAAAAAAAAAATGCTTTAAAAACAAAATATCTCCTATGTTTCCATATGTTCCCAATGTTTTCTATAAAGAAAAAAACATGGCCCTGGCCAGTTTGGCTCGGCGGTTGAGCATCGACCTGCGGACCAGAGAGTCCCGGGTTTGGTTCCCACTAGGGGCACATACTACAAAAAAAAGAAAAAAACATGGGTGACAAAATGAGCACAACTCAAATGATTTTTGTAAAACAAAATCAATGAAAAAGTGAAACCCCTTTGTACAATATATTAAGTATAGTATAAACTGTAATCACCTTTTGGTGGAGAGAATATGGGAGATAGTTGTTTGTAAAACAAAATCAATGAAAAAGTGAAACCCCTTTGTACAATATATTAAGTATAGTATAAACTGTAATCACCTTTTGGTGGAGAGAATATGGGAGATAGTTGTGCTCTTCTTTTGGCTTTTTAGTCATTTTCAAATGCCTTCTTATTTGGATAGTAACAGCTGAAAGTTGTATAGTGAAATTAGAAGTGATTACCCCCTGGAAAGTTCAGCAGTATAGTTTTATAGTTTCCCTAAGGGTGGGGTTGAGGAGGGTGGGAGGAGAACCTCACTTCTAAGCTCTTATTGAAATATCTTTTTTATATGCCAGATTTTTTAATTGGGAGAAAAAAATCATAAAATTGTTCATATTATTCCATGATAAAAATATTAAGTATTTAAAGATCAGAAATAGGAACCACATGATGGGTAAACAAATTCATAAGTATGTCCTAACTTTGATATTTCATTCTAGAATATCACACCTGATAGCTAATGGTACACTCATTTGAGCCCTTGTCCAAGCAAAACATCTTTCAACTTCCATTCTTCCGTTTTGGTATTTATGGCTCTATTTTTTTGGTCCACAAAAATTTTTTCCAGGCAGCCTCTCCAATTTTAAAGATTTTTACATATATTAGAACTCACCTCAGTAATATTTCCAGATATATGTCACTGAGAGATCCGATTATCTTCAGACCAACTGCCAACAAAATCCAATAAATTATTAAATTACTCAACCATAGTGTTCAAAACAGGTATTATGAGGATAATTTAAGGAGCAATCCAGATCAATGCCACTGGGTCACTCAAAAGAAATACCAACATAGATTTCATTTTCTTAGTAAGTAATTTTGAGAAAAAAACACTGTTCTGAATGAAAAATTGATTTGGCTTTCCTTCCAGTTCTCAACCTTCCTAATGCCACGACCCTTTAATACAGTTCCTCATGTTGTGATGACCCCCAACCATAAAATTATTTTCGTTGCTACTTCATAACTAATTTTGCTACTGTTATGTCTTAGGCGACCCCTGTGAAAGGATCGCTCGATTCCCAAAGGGGTCGCGACCCATAGGCTTAAACTGTTCTCTTTAAGTAAATTTAGTCAACGTGGATTATTGACGGCATTTTCCACTTCCCTAATTATTTTATTCTTTATGACAACTTGCTAATTCATACTCTATTTACATCATTTCAGCTGTGTTTTCGTTTCAATAAACAGAATACAATATTTTGCTAAGAGAACAAGACCAATGGCTGCCCTGAACAAGATCCTATCGGGAGGTCCTTTTATCTAAAGTGTTTTCTGTCTCTGCAAAACCGCTGCTGCTGTTTCCTTTAAAAAAGCAGCAAAAGCCTCTTGCAATTTGGAACAGCTGCGAATCTAAGGTCAGAGTAACAGCATCTGTGCCAGCAAGTGAATTCTCAGCATTCCGAAACCCAGAGCTTAATCGCGTGAGGAGCACGCGGAAGCACCTGTCCACACGCACCCTATTAAGTGTCTAGGAACCTTGCCTTTCTCGTCTTAATTAAGGAAACTCCTACTGCCAGTGGCAATTGGCTGAGAATATGACAAATTTCCAAAACTCACGTCCAAAGGGAAGAAGATCTTTTCGGAGAGGTGCAGACCCCAGAAAACCCTATCATGCTCTTTAGGAGGCAGAGAACCAGCCCAGACACAGAGATTTCCCCTCCGCCTCTTTCTCTCGCGGCGGGAGAGGAAGCCTCGCCCCCCTTCGCCCCGCCCCCTACTTCCCACCCCGCTGCAGGGAGAACCCTGCGATGGCTGCCCTATGGCCCCTTCATTTCCGGTGCCGGTGCCGCTACAGCTGCGCCATCCCCCAATCAATGGGACAACCATAGCTTCCAACTGACCTTTTAAACAGACCCGCGACTCCTCCGACCTTCACTATGTGCTGAATTGGAGGGAACTGCGGACGGGTACCGCACTGAAAAGAATTTATGGGAGAAAGACTTCGTTGTCCTCTCGCCAGAAACATGAAATGCGATAGAGCTGTGGCCACCGCTGCCCAGACAAAATGGCGCCGAGAAGCCGGTTTAGCGCATGCGCCTTGGATAGACTCTGCCCCGCCCCCGTGCAAGTCCTGGCAGCAGCTCGGGTTCGGTTTCCATGGGACACTCCACTGCCAATCCTCGTGCGGAACTGCTCTTCCTGACCCCTCAATTTACCAATCAGTGCTCAGTCAAGCACATCCGGAGTCTTTTCTACCAATCCTTTTTCAGGACTTGCTTACTCAATACCTTGTTCTCCAGTAATGTTAGACTTCGGAAACAGCCAATCATAAGTGGAAAATGTCCTACCTGCTGTTTTTCGCACCAATCCGTGAAGTTTCGGAGCTACATCCAATGAGAACGGCAGGTAGCGAGCCCCAATCCGAAGCTCTTCGGCGTCATGAGCAGCCAATAGGAGTTCGTGTAGAAGCGAGTCTGCTCAACAGCTTGTTATTTGGTGGATTGTGGCAGTAAATCGGGCGAGTGGGGAACCGGGCGCAGGAACTGCCGCCGCGGCCGGGAGTGATCCTGCCCAGCCGGGGGCCCACGGCGGGCAGTGGGGCGAAGGACTCGGGAGCTGACAGCGCGCACTTCACCCGCAGTTGGTAGGTGGGGAGGAGGGAAGTGGGGGATACTAAATGGACCAAGCAGCAGTAGCAGCTGCCGCTTGCTGCTGCCCGGGGTCCCAGTGCAGTTGGAAGCTTTGGATGTGGGGAAGGGAATGCTAGGCAAGCGGTGCGGCGAGCGCAGGGTAATGGGCAAGTCGCGGAGCAGCGACAGCAAGTGCGGGAACCGCCGCCGCAGCCGCTTCCTCGGCCGCTTCCCCGGGAAAATGGCTGTGGGGCTGGCCGCGCCGCTAAGTTTGCTTCCGCGCCTTGAAGAGCGGGCTGCTTTAGGGAGCCGGCCCCCAACTCCGCGGTGCGTCCTCCCCTGTGGAGTCCGGAGCAGGACCCGAGAGGCTGGGGGCAGGTACCTCTCTGGGCTGTACAAAAAGTTGAGGCGGGCGCGGGGAGGAGGCGGCGACTGCCGCTGTGCGGCTCCCCTCCCCTCCCACACACTGTCCGGGCCACCTCCCTCCTCCTCTCCGCCCCCCCAGCCCCCTCCTCCTCAGCGGGTCTCCCCTCACCCACGCGTCTCCCGCTGAAGGCCTCAGCCCCTGCCCCTTCGGGTGAAGAAGCGCTTCTTCTTCCTGACATGGTGCAGAGCGGAGGAAGGAGAGCAATGGCGCCGTGACACTCCGCTGCCGCCACCGCGGGCCCGGGGCGGGCCGAGGGGGCTGAGCGGCGGAGGCGGGGCACGGGCCGAAGTCGGGGTATCCGGGGGGCGGCCGAGCAAAGGCTGGGCGACCGCGCCTATCGGGGACTAGGGTAAGCCCAAACGGCGCCCAGTCCTTTTCCAGAGCGATCGGTCTTGGGGATCCGAGTTGAGCATTCCGGGTCAAAGTGGTGAGCGAGGCGGGGGCGCGGTGGGCCGCTGGCGAAGTCCAGGGCGGAACGGGCGCCCGCGGGGTTCTCGCTGCCCACTCTGCCCCTGTATCTCAGTTACCCTCCGAGGGGATCTTCTTATCCCACTGCTGCTGAGGGTTCTGCCCCTCCCCGCTGGCGTTTGTTTACTTTCTTTCCCTGGGTCCGTCCCCGGTGTAGACTGATATTGGCTTGTCTTTTTCCTCCCCCATGGTTCTAGCGACGGAGAACAGAGCTGGTTGAGCTGGAACCCCATAGGTCACCAATAAAAATGAAGGTAAGTGGAGTCAGCGCTGCTCTGAACCTCGTGCCCTGGACACTGCCTGTCGTGAGGCTAGTACTGAGGAATGTCACTGCTTTTTTTTTTGTTTTTTGGCTACGCAAAATTTATTCCTCTACTAGGCAGTGCTTTCTGAAAAGGAGGATGTATTGAATGGGGAGAAATCATCATTGTGTCTAAATGCAGTCAGCTCGGCTCCTCTCTGAAGCAGTTAACACTTTGGAAAGGCTGTTACAGCCTTTCCATTGTTGTCCATTGGGCTAGTATTTTTAAACACTTCCTGTGTTGGCAGCAACCTTTGCAGAAGTAAAGCTTTTGTCCTGCTTTGGTTCTTTGGGGGATTTTTAAAAATAATTTATTCTTCCTCAGTGCCAGTGTGATTTTCTAAGGAAAGAATACGTGGATTGTGTAAGGGAGGTATAATTTTTGCTGGAGATAAAGTGAAATTCTGTGGCAAAAATATTTGAAGGTGAACCGAAACAAATAGTTTTAGTTCATTATAACAAATATTTTTAAACATATAGCCAACCAAAATATTTATATGTTCTTCTGAAGACAACTAATAATGCAAACACCATATGTGATGTTTAAAGGGAAAGGAGGGGATAGCAGTCGTAGTGCCGGTAGCATTGAATGTTTCAGGTTAGATATTTACTTGCTAAAAGTATCCCTCTTTAATTTGCATTATTTGTAAGTACACTAACTTTTTCTCTCTTCCTCAATTTATATAAGTACACTAATTTAAAAGGGTTCTTGATTCCTTAGTCATTTACTGTTTCACTGTATTAAGCTCTGAAATACAGCATTTTCCCAAATATGCTCTTGCATTAATGTTACTTTTTTTTTTTTAAAGATTACACATAACCTTTAATGTTACTTAGGAAAACTTACTGGAAAGTGAAAGTCATTTTCTACTTAAAAGTGTATCTCTTAGTTACTTTTGCACTTGGCAATGTTGAATCAAATTTGTATGAGTACATTTACTTTTTGAAAAAAATAAGTAAAGTGACAGATTGAGATAGCAATCATTCTGTTATTGGCAGGATTAAAATGCATTGTAGAATGAAATTCCTCACATCTTTCAATGTATCTTATGGCCATTGGCTAAAGGTAGATATTTTTTAGTAAAGCTATATATATCCAAAAGACTAGTGTGGTTAACTGGTATGGCTACAAGTCTTGAGCCATCAGTTCATATCCCTGCATTCATCAGACTTAAACCTTTGAAATGCAGCTTTTAGCCTATTTTTTTCTCTCCCAAACAATGCTCTCCTTATCAAAGGATTGGCTTCATTTCTTATCTGTACAATTATACTGTATCTGAAAAGATGTTGCCGTTATGTAGGTATATTAATAAACAATTATATATTATTGGTGTTAATTTTAATACCATTATCTTTTCATTTGAAAACAAACTTTTCTGAAGGCCATAAATCAATAACTTAAAGTATTGAGACACTTAATATGCATATTTTTTTGTTTTTTATTTTTTATTTCTTAAATAAATTGTAGAATTGTTGAAACATTTTGTATCTGGAGAAGAAAATTACTGTATTTCCCTACTGATGCTTTCCAGTTTCGATTTAAAATGTTTTATGTTATTAGGATATAGTTTATAAAATAAAGGAGTGTTAATAAAGTGTTTGCTTGGGAGTATTTTTCATATTATCAGTGATAGTGTCACTGTTTTTATTACTCTAAACACAGAACCTTTTAATGAGACCTGAGGTTGGAGTAGGGGAAAATAGTGAAATTCACATTTTATGTTCCTTTTATCAGGCGGCTGATGAGCCTGCCTACCTGACAGTGGGAACTGATGTAAGTGCCAAGTACCGAGGTGCCTTCTGTGAGGCAAAAATTAAGACTGTGAAAAGGCTGGTAAAAGTTAAGGTAATTTTTTTTCTTTTTATGTAACAGCTTTACTAACTCTAGATTGAAAAGTGTTGGGGAGGGGGAACTGCAAATCAACATTTCATATATTGAATCTTTACTTCACTTACTGAATCATTACTATGTGAAAGCACTGTTACACATAAAACTACAGGAAAAGCACATTAAGATTTGAGAAATAACTCAAATTGAGAAATTATTCCAAAATACTTTATGAAGATACCATGTTCATGATGCTTCCTATCATTTGGATCTTGCCTGTTTGTGGTATTGTCCTTACTTAGGCTATAATCTATTTTCTCCTTTTTCATAATATTCGTGTTGAGACAATTTCAAGTGATTAGGAATAATAATAAAGTGGGAATGTGTTTTCAAGACAGCATTAAAAATGATTTAGGAAATTTATTTTTAAGATGCTTTTATGACCAGAAAAAAGGTAACACATTATTTCTATACAATATTTGGAAATATAGAAACATATCAAAGAATTAATGCCCATAGCTTATCTCTCAGAAATACTACTACTAATATTTTTTGTGTGTTTTTATAGTAATTTTCCTATATAAATGTTTTTAATAACCTTAGTTATAGTTCATTAATTCAGCAAACATTTATTAAGTGCTTGTAATATGCATTGACATTTGCTAACTGCTGGGCCTATAGTGATGAAGGAGGACTCTAGCCTTCAAGGAGCTCACAGTTAATGAGAGAGACAATAAACATAAATATAAGACACTGTGATAAGTATTACAACAGAAGTATCCACAGGATGCTAAGAAAGCATAGATTAAAGATGTTGTTATAGTGTTACCATAAATGTATTGTTTTAAAAGTAACATGAATTATTGTGCAAAATATTTTTCAGGTGCTCCTGAAACAGGACAATACTACACAGTTGGTGCAAGATGACCAAGTAAAGGGTCCTTTAAGAGTACGTATGTTCTGCAGTTTAAAATCTGAAATGGTGAATCATAAGTTTTTACAGTAACTTATTGGTTTTTACATTTGTAGATAAAATTTTAAAATTCTATAAGAATGTTAAACAGAACAAAAATACAAATATGGTGTTACATAGTTAGTATAAATTATATTGCAATCACTGTGTCCTCAATTTAAGAATGTTAAACATCTTACAGAAGGATAATTTTTAATATATATAAACATGCGTTTTCAGCCACCTTTGCTTTGAATTCTTGGATTAAATGCTTCGTTTTGTTTTTTACATTGTCATATATGCTTAGCTTGCTAAGTAATATACTAATATAAGTCTTAATCTTCTGTTATTCTTTCTAACATACCAAGTAAACTGTTGGCTTCATACTTTAGTTTAATGAATACCTATATTATTTTTTCCATTCATTTCTAGCCATTTGTTTATGTAATCTTTGTTATGTCAGAATACCACTTTGGTTAATATCTCATATACTAAAGTCTGGAAGCTGAAAGAAGGTCAACTGGACTCTGACACTCTCTCTCTCTCTCTCTCTCTCTCTCTGTCTCTCAAGAAAATTGAAGCTCTTTTTGCTGTGTTGTATAGTTTTTTGGTTCTTACATTCCACAGTTTTCTTGAAGACTGTGTTATATTGAAAAAGATCTGAAGTAAGACTTAAGTGACTGGGTTCTCATCCTGTACTCTGCTGATTATTTTCTCTTTCTGAGCCACAATTTTTCATATGTAAAATAGGGGTATTAATAGCTTTCCTACTTATGCCAAAAGGGGGCTCAAATTGCATGATAAACATGAGCACTATAAATGATAAAGATTTTGAGCCAATGTAAAGTAGAATTATTTCAAGTATTATTTTCTTTTTTTTTACCTAGGTAGTAAAAATTTGGTTTGTTTAAATGTGGTAATGAAATTTTGATTTTGTGTTTTAGGTTGGAGCTCTTGTTGAAACAAGGACATCTGATGGATCCTTTCAGGAAGCTATTATCAGCAAGTTGACAGATGCTAGTTGGTATACTGTGGGTAAGTAGTTTAGTTGTTTAAGCCATAGGATTTGATTTGGGGGTTGCATGTATCCCTCTCTCTTGTAAATACTCTGAATCATTATGTTGGCAGAGAAATACGTATTCTTTCCTGTCAGCGATCTGTTAGCGTAACTTGGCTTTTTTGGCAATTTCTTCAAAGATTATATGGTTATTTTTGTTCCATAAAAAAAGTCAATACACCTTAGTATTGTAAATAATCAGAACTTTTAAATTTTTCTGTAATTACAATTAAGATTGCACAGCCCTGGGCGGTTTGGCTCAGTAGTTGGAGCGTCGGCCTGTGGACCAGAGAGTCCCAGGTTCGGTGTCCGCTAAGGGCACGTACCCAAAAAAAAGATTGCACAGTTGCAGTCTTTTATTATATTGCTGCCTGTTTTATATAAGGGTAGTATATATAGATGTTACCATAGAATTTACAGACTTAAGAAATTCTGACCAGAGTAGGTTCAAGCCTAGGTAATCATAGCTTAATTTTTGAAATTTGATACAGTAAGGGCAAGAAAGATACATGCATACTAGCTTTGGCAGCACATTATACTAAAATTGGAATGATACAGAGAAGAAGATTAGCATGGCCCCTGTGCAAGGATGACATGCCAAAAAAAAGAAAGAAAGAAAGAAAGAAAGATGCTACTGATGCGAATGCACCCTTAACATTCCATGCATAAACTTATACTGGCTTTAAAAAACTACTTTAGTGAATAGCAACAAGTGTCATAATACAAGTAAATTAAAACCTAAATGTAGTACTTAATAGTTGCTGTCATGTTGATGAGAATATCAACAATGAACATTTCTAAATTTTCTCTCAGTGCTTTCAAACTACACAATCCTGTGGATAACATCCAATCCTTGGTTTTACAATAAACATCTATTGTATTGTTTAGTTTTTACATTATATCTTGGTATAAATAGTATAATGATAGTGGTATGGTTTCCTTGTAGAAGAAGGAAGAGAAATGGCCCTTAAGTTTACTTATAGTTTACTTGATCTCTTGCTGTGGGTAAAAATTATCTCTAGTTGATGTTCAAAGCTGTGAAGAACATGCTTTGGTTAAAAATTGTACTTCCTGTTTGTTGTTGTTGTTTTTTCTTCCCAGAGGCTTCTGCAAGTACTAGTAGAGATTTACAGAAGATAACTACTATTTTCTAAACATTTTTATTCTTGAATTTCCTAGAAGTTGGTGTTGGTTCATAATGGTCTATTATTCTGAACTACGTATTTTTAGAAAGCTTAGTTTTGGCTATTGGTAGTTATTAGAGATTTAAAAATTAAGCTAATGTTAACCCTTAGAGCTTAAGTAAATACAGTTTTGCTATGTTAAGTAAGGCAGTGATAAAAATTACAGGAGTTGATGTGTGCAGAATCATGGTAAATTATATGATGCATATGCAAATACCAATACATCATTCCGTTTGGTACCCATTATCAAGGTTTTACTGATATAATGCTCATGTTTCTGCAGAAGCAATAATTTTCAGGTTTTCACATTCTTGATTTCTGGACCCCAGTAATCCTTCAATTATGAATAGCAACCTCTATCTTTTACATGAAAGGCATTTTAGAATTTCTAAAAACTAGTTGCTACTGAACATTCTCTATGGTGATTTTCTATGATAGGCAATTACAGAAGAAATTGTATAATTCTTGTTCTCAAAGAGCTTAGAATTGCAATTACTTGTAATTCATGTATCACAATCATTACTGTACATAAGAATCACTTGGTGCTTGTTTAAAAAAATGAGATTTGAGGACCCCAAGTCTCTCCAATTTAGTAGATCCAGAGGTGGCAACCCAAGAATCTCTTTTTTGTTTTTGTTTTTTAATGCACAATGGCTGAATCTAATATAGCTAGTACACACTTAGGAAAACAAACCATACTTGGAGAAACAGAGACTTATTCAGGAGAAAAATTAATATTTAAGGTCTTTGTATCTCTGTAATGAGAGAGAATGACCTAAAATATTTAAGGCGTTTAAGAGGCACTGTTCACTTAAGTATACTCAATGTAGCACTCTGCTGTAAAGAATGTTTAGATATTGAAGGATGTAGACCACATAAAGAAGGTTTTGTGTATACCAAGCTTAGGAGCTGACAAAATAAAATGATCTCTTATAGGTCATGAACTTTCTATATTTTTCTTTGATTGAGTGCCTACTACCTATTGGGTTTAATTGTTTTCTGAAATTTTTCTTGATTTCTAGTTTATAGGGAAGTGTTGTATAGGTAGAAACAGAAAGTTATATAAAATATGAATGTTCTTCATGATTTTTTAAAAAAGAGGTCTTGAAATTATGTCACACTATTAAAAACGAAACAAAGGAGGATACCATACTGCTGGTTTGGATCAAATAGAAGTTATAATCATTGGTAATCAAAAGTTAGCAATGTGTCAGTGATAGTAACTCCTTCTTATGTAATATAGGTAATAATTTTTCCCATTGTAGCTGAATAACCAATTTTTAAAGAGATTATAGATCTATAACTCAATTTTTAAAAATCTAATAATACTTTGCCTTTTAATGTTGAACAATAAATAGCTCCAGCTCATGGATTTTTTTGTTTGTTTTTTGAACCTTGGAACTATTTCCTCATCTTATCATAAAACAGTGCTTCCTAGCATAATTTATTCATTTGGCAGTTCTTTTTCTTGAATTGAAGATGAGGAATCTGTAATGTGTGGAAATGTGTTGTTATCTGTTCAGACATTTAAAGGTATCAAAATTTGGAATAGAGATCATATCTACATTTGAATGTTGTCATTAACTCCTGGTAAATACAACAGTCAATAAGATATTCTAAAACTATTTTCTTTTGCCTTTTGGAATATGAAAATGACACATTGATTTGAAAAATAAGGAACATGTAAAGGAAAAAAATTGCCATTAAATTTAATGATCAAGCCCTGGCCGGTTTGGCTCAGCGGTTGGAGCATTGGCCCAGGGACCAGAGAGTCCTGAGTTTGGTTCCCGCTAAGGGCACATGCCTCATTTGCGGTTTATCCCCGGCCCTGGTTGGGGTTGTGTGGGTGGCAGCCGCTCGATGTGTCTCTCTTTCTCTCTCTCTTCCCCTCTCTCTCCTTCCTACTCTATCTGAAGATAAATGCCAAAAAAAGTGACCTCAGGTGAGGATTAAATAAATAAATTTTAAAAAATCTTTAAAAAAAAATTTAGTGATCTACATATAAAATGTACACATACATTATATATTAAGTTTAACACTAAAATCTATTTGATCATTTATATATTTTTGTGACAAATTATTTTTTAAGGTTCTTAATTTTTTCCTACCTTGTAGTTACTGTGCTGCATATCAGTTGTATCAGATCTCATGGAATATCTAGTTTAGATTAAACTGGTGAACGCACTGACATTTTTTTTGTAATGTTCTATAGGCTTATAAGGCTTTTAATTTTGTTAGAGCCTCTTTTGACACATGTTGTTATAACCAAATACTTTCAAAACTAGGTGGTTATTTTACTGACTAGAAAATCATTAAGAAAAAAACTTGCTAAACAGCAAAGAAGTATGTTCAATCCTGTTGGATAAGTTATAACCCATTGTTTAAATGGCCTTCCATGAGACATAGAATTTCCATATTTTGTTAATATAATTAAACATTTGAATTTTAATTTCTAAAGTTTCCAGGTTCCTGAAGTTTTTTACCTTAGCTGCTGAGGGACTCAACAAATGATTTTATGATTAACAAAACTATTGGTTTTACCTAGGGTATGCATATATTCTTTAATTTTAAAGTTTTTACTCCATCATGTGAAATATTTTGTTAACCATAACTGTGATACACAGACATAATAATAATACTTATTTTTCCAAAGTCAGAATTCTTGACTTCATTCCATGTTTGTTTTTTGCCTCTGCTTCATACCTATCTATTATGTGTTTTGATCCCCCTTAACTAAATGTAGCTCAGTGATTAACTTTCTGATTCTCAATTTCTTTATCTATAAAAAGGAAGATAGTGATTCCTATTTTGCAGAGGCTGCTGTGACGATCATGATATGGTAGACACTTAAGTGATAGCTAATTATATAGTGGGTAAATTAAGTTAATTTACTGTTATTATCTTACTGTCCTCCAGCATCTAACAGTGTTATGATAACAAGTAGATCTTTTGTTTTTAGTAGTTAGATTAGATCCTTGTTGCTTTTGTTTTTTGAATTCTGGCAGTTTAGCATTAGGCTTTGTATATTTATATTTTGCCTAGTGTGATTAAAGGGCTTTATCATTTTTCTCAAATTAGGTTTTAATATTTATATGCAATATAATAACAGAGATACTTTGTTACACCTATTAAATAATCTATTTAAATGCCATTTTTGGCAAGTGTAAGACATTTTATAGAATTACTGAATCTTAATACCCTTATGTTTTTTTCTCTTGGCATGCTGTAGTATACATCTTCAACTACAAGAAGCTAAATTTATTATATGCACCAGTTAATTATTTCACTTTTATCGAAGCGACAGAGTCACTCTTCAGTGCCTACAAATTTGTGTTCTTTTATTTATTTATTCTTATCCTCACCTGAGGATATTTTTCTATTTATCATCAGATAGAGAGGAATGGAGATTGAGGGAGGGAGAGAAACAGAGATAGAGAGAAACATCAAGGTGAGAGGGACACATAGACTGGTTGCCTCCCGCAGGATCCGGACCAGGGCTGGGGACGAACTGCAACCCAGGTATGTGCCCTTGACCGGAATTAAACCCGAGACTCGTTGGTCTGTGGGCCAACGCTCTAACTGCTGAGCCAGCCCGGCCAGGGCAAATCTGTGTTCTTTTAAATGATACTTGGAAGTTATAGAAAAAACTTCTTAAAGATGGAACTGATGATTTTGATAATCAGGGATGTCATGATTAATAAGTCCACTATGCTGTTGGGTTTCTATTTGCCTTTCAGAAAGTCTTGAGAAGTTACATGGCTTAACAAACTTGTATAAAGTACTCAAATACACAGTTTTGCATAGTTTTATGAAGTGGAGAAGGTTCTTATGTAAAGTTGTAAAATTATTTGCATCACAATCCACTTTTGAGAAATTCTTTTGGTTCTTACGTTATTTCTATTCATGGTAAAATATGATGAGTAAAATGAATTTTTTCCTTCAAAAATCTGGTTGATTTCATAGTAATTATTTTTAAAAACAAGAACTAATTATATTACATTGTTGAAATTTCTCATAAAAACATTTTGATTTGGGCTGCCATTGATTAATGATTAAAAAAACCTGTGGGAAAAATATTGTTGCCTAAATTTGATATTTATTAATTAATCTCACAATGTTACTCTCCTTACTCACAACTCCACTTAAATGTGAAGTATATGAGTATGTATGTGTGAGCCCAGTGTCACCATCTTTGTATTGTAGGCATTAAAGGAAATTGGAACTTTTAAGGTTTTAGTCTTTAGTATACTTATGGACTTGAACACTAATGTGAAGAATTACTTTAAGTTTGGTATGCTTTTGTGATTTGAACTTTACAAAAAACAGTGGTTTATTTATTAGACTCGATACTGTATGAATCATAATTTTGATACAAATGTTTAGAACACTGTTGATCAAGTATAGATTAGAGATGTACTGATTGTTGAAGGGTGTTGTTTTA